AAATCAGGATTTTTTTCAGTTTTTTGTCCATTTCGACCCCTAAATGTTGTGCGATCATCTCCAAAAGAAATAAGGTACTATTCTGACCTTATCCCCACCTCCATTGTAAATTTCGTGAAGATCGGGCCATAATTGCGACCTGTAGAGTGATTACAAATTAACATGGACAGACGGACAGACGGACGGACGGACATACATAGCTAGATCGACTCAGCTCGGCGAGATAGGAAGATCCATATATACTTTCCTATGTGGGAAATCAATATTTCGAGGTGTTACATAATTTTTGGCCCAATCAAACTTATAATACCCCCAACACAAAGTGTTGTAGGGTATAATGAAATAAAATTCTGATTGTCTTCAAATTTCGCATAGTATTTCTAACAAAACAAGATCTGGTGTGTAGAACGGATAGAATGGACTACACTTTCGGGTACATACCCACAAGGCGTCAACATGTAAAATAATCATGAAGGTCATGAAACGAAAAATGAGCATTCAAACCCTTTCAAACTCGGCACATCTCAACATTTCTATAAACACAAGATCAGCTTTGAAGATGGAATATATCGGGCTGCTTCTTCTGATACCATTCCCACAACGGGTTAATATTTTGAATAATTATAACGCAAGTCAAAATTTGTTTAAACATATGGACATGGTATGAGGGTATAAATCTGACGGCAAAACCGACTGATACTTTTTAAATTGTTATTTAGCACAAATTGGTGAAAGCTGACAATCAAGTGATTTTAATTTCCTTATTTATTTGATTGTTCATTACCGCTTTTATTATGCCGATTAGATGCTACGTATGTGAGCTATATCGAATCTGCAACGATTTCAACAACATTTTGCAGAGGTATTTATCCCCCATGCAACTCTGTGAAAATGTTATTATATGTTCAACTACTGGCCACTAATTTTAGTGCTTAATGCCTAATTTTAAGAATATACACGATGAGATAAAAAAAAACTGCAACAAAGTCAAACGCCATAATTTTTACATTTTTTTTTAATTTTATTGAATGAAAGCAAACATTAAGTTCGGCCGGGCCAAACTTTTAATACCCTTCACCTTAGGGTAAAGGAAACATTAGAAGAAATGTGGCAAAAATCTTTAAATTACCGAATATCGGGAGGTACCGTTATATGGGGGCTATACCAAAACGTGGACCTATAATTACAATGACTGACACAAACTGGGACCCATTATGATCTACAACTACCAATTTTCAGAGAAATTCTTGAAAAATGTGTCAAAGATCATCAAAATACCGAATATTGGGAGGTACCTTTATATGGGGACTATATCAAAAAGTGGACCTATACATACAATGTTTCACCACACGAACTAGGACCCATTATGACCCACAAATACCAATTTTAAGACAAATCCGTGAAAAATGTGGCAAAAATCATCAAAATACCGAATATCGGGAGGTGCCGTTATATGAGGGCTATACCAAATCATGGACCCATACATGCAATGTTTCGCCACCGGAACTGGAACCCATTATGACCAACAAATACCAATTTTTAGACAAATCCGTGAACAAATGTGGCAAAAAAATTAAAATACCGAATATCGGGAGGTACCGTTATATGAGGGCTATACCAAAACGTGGACCTATACATGCAATGTTTCGCCACTGCAGTTAGAACCCATTATGACCTACAAATACCAATTTTCAGACAAATCCGTGAAAAAATGTAGCATAAATTATCAAAATACCGAATATCGGGAGGTACCGTTATATGGGAACTATACCAGAACCTGGACCGATATATCTCATTTTCAATACCAACTGTCCTAGACACAATACAAATGGCTCTGCTAAATTTTGGCGCTCTACGTCAAATAATGTGGGCTGTATCGTGATTTCAACAGACAGACGGACATCGTTAAATCGACTTAGAATTTTATGCTGATTATGAATATATATACTTTATGGGGTCTACGACGAATATTTAAGGATATTACAAACGGAATGACATAGTTAATATACCCTCCTTTCCAAGATGGAGGGTATAAAAATGTCGGAAATAGCATAAAATTTTAGAATAAGTTTAGATTTGTTCGAATAGGCCTCCAAACGGCCAATGAAACCGTCATACACTGCCCGAATGTTGCTCTGCGGTATTTTGGCCCATTCCCGGCAAACGCTTGCTTGATGTTAATTTTTAGTGTCAGCCTTGCTTTCCAAAATCCTCTAGACACAATAGTCCAACGGATTGGTATCCGGAGATTTTGGTGGAAAGAGGTATTTATCCCCTATACCACTCTGTGAAAAGGTTATTATATGTTCAACTAACATACCAGGACCGTGTTGTTGGCCACTTATTTTTTAGTACTTAATCCCTAATTTTAATTTGAGATAAAAAACTGTAACAAAGTCAAACGCCATAATTTTTACATTACTTTAAAATTTTATTGAATGAAAGCAAAAATATCGGAAATAGCATAAAATTTTAGAATAAGTTTAGATTTGTTAGAATAAGTCACCTTTGACGATTTACCCAAAGTAATATTTTTATATATTATTATTATACTTTATTCCTCTGTATTTCAAAGATATTTGATGCCGTAATATGCGTTGTGGCGTTACTTTAAAACTATAAGCTAATTTTTTCAATCCATTTTAATACTGACAATCTGGAATAACTTCAATATCCTGATGACCCTTATATTTATGCGCAGTTTGAATCCCACAATGCACATTATTACATTTACCTTAAGTGCTTATTTATATATATACATGTATGTATGTGCGAGTAAAAGATATACCTTTTACTTTACAACTGCCAGCGTTTGTCTGCGTGTTTGCGACATTCATATGTCGTCTCGTAAAATATTTGCCATAACACATGCAATATCCGTCTCCGGTTGAAAACTCGAATTCGAGGCATGCTGTTTGCATTTTACTATGTACTCTGAGCTTGTGCTGGTGTGTGCAAGTGTTTGAATTTGTGTTGAAGCACAAATTTTAAAATCATGCATCAACCGCATTTGACTACCATCTCACCGAATATTACCACTAAAATTATTACAGTCATAAAGCCCAATACACTTATCTCGGTATTTGCAAGTGTGTTGGTATATGTGCGTTGTCAGGATATGGAATGGTTTTGTTTTGTTGAGTGTTTATGTTGTTTTTAACGTCGGAACAAATTTGAACAAACAAATCCAAATAGACAGTTACTCAGTTCTATGTTCGTCCAGAATCATAAATATTATTAAACAATATTACAAATTTTTAAATTCATCTTTTATTTATGAATGATGTTTGTTTTTTGTATATATTGAATACATTTGTACATATGATAAGACCAAGATCATGTTTATACCCTACACCACAAAGTGGTCAGGGTATTATGTCTTTGTGCATTTGTTTGTAGCAGGCAAAATGAAACGATATAGACCCATACTTCCTTTTATAATCTGCATAGAATCACATTCTGAGTCGATTTATGCATGTCCGTCTGTCCGTCCGTGTGTCTGTCCGTCTGTCCATGTATTTTTGTAAACAAAGTACAGATCGCATTTATCGCCCTATCTCTATCCAGATGAAATATAGCAAATACAACTCAGAAATGCATTTGCTAAATTTTATCGAGATCGGTTCAGATTTGGATACAGCTCCCATATATAACTTCGTCCGATTTACCTTTTATTGAGCACCAAACGTCTAATATTTGTCCAATATCCGTCCGTGTGTCTGTCCGTCTGTCCATGTATTTTTGTAAACAAAGTACAGATCGCATTTATCGCCCTATCTCTATCCAGATGAAATATAGCAAATACAACTCAGAAATACATTTGCTAAATTTTATCGAGATCGGTTCAGATTTGGATACAGCTCCCATATATAACTTCGTCCGATTTACCTTTTATTGTGCACCAAACGTCTAATATTTGTCCAAATGGGATGGAATTTGGCACTTACGACCGTATTGAATATAGAAGCTAGTATGTCAAATTCGGTGAAGATCGGTTCAGATATAGCTATAGCTCCCATATATATTGTTCATCCGATTTGTTATATTTGTTACCCACAACCGTAATATGCACTCCGTAACAACGATATTCAGGGAAATATATCAAATACAGCTCAGAAATATCTTTGCCAAATTTTATCGAGATCGGTTCAGATTTGGATATAGCTCCCAAATGGTCAATACAAGTCCGAATTTAAAAGATACAAATGCTTCGGCATGTATAGTCCTTTGAACTTTAAATTATAATTATAATCATAGCGTATATGTTTGAAGGTCCGAAATTTGCAGTGTAAGGTCTTCCACAGTAATTCCAAACTCGACCTTCTTGGCAAACCCATCTTCTTTTCTTGGGCAAACCTACATTATTAACACTACACCCGCCAAATTATCTTGAAGTCTTTGTGTGGTATAATTTGTGACATCTCATAAAAGAATGCCAGAGCAGCCCTCGAATCCTGCCATCGGTTTTCCTTTTCATTTGACATTAGTCCCACACACAACTCATAACTTTATTCCGACCCGGTCTTCTTTTATATTTATCAATAGGAGAAAATTTGACTTCTGATCCTCTAAATCTGTACAGTTTGAATATCCCATTTAGAAGCTCATACGCGATTATTTTAAAACGCATTTGAATTGGACACATTTTGGCCGTATCAAATGATCTATTCTCTCTTCATTCATAATGCTGGGGATAATAAAATCATAAATCTAGTAGAAAATGAAGGGAGCAAATGCAGGGGTGTTAAATCCCAATATTTTTACGAACATAAAAGCAGTGCTTATTTTGTGCGTCATGTCCTTGTAAAATGTATATGAGTATTTTAGAATTGGAATGAGCTGCTTCATTCGAGGAAAAAGTCATATAATGGCTTGCTTTCTTCCCTTCAATTTTTATCTTGAAACAATTATAAAAATTCGCAAAAACAAAACAAATATTGTATCACACTCATTATGCATTGTATTAATTCTAAATTTCTTTATTCTTCTTTATTTATCAGGTACAAACGGCCTTCGAAGACGTGGCCGACAAACTTACACCCGCTATCAGACTCTTGAATTGGAAAAGGAGTTCCACACCAATCACTATCTAACCCGCCGGCGCAGAATCGAAATGGCGCATGCCCTATGCTTGACCGAAAGACAAATTAAAATTTGGTTCCAAAATCGACGAATGAAATTGAAAAAGGAGATACAAGCCATCAAAGAACTGAACGAACAAGAGAAACAGGCACAGGCAGCTAAAGCAGCAGCGGCGGCGGCAGGACATCATTTAGGCGAATAAAATTAGGAAAATGTTATAAATTATTATAATTATAGTACTCAAGATAATGGTAACAATAGAGAAGATAATAAATGCAATAATAATAATTGTGTGTACAGACGACCAGGTGTATACGCAATAACAACAGCAGAATCTATTTTCAATGAGACAACATTACAAGCAAAAACATCAAATAGCCGTTCATCAGAATTTCCAAATCAAAGGGTAGTGGTTAGACCAGAAATATTAGATAATGAGGTTTACACGTACGGCAGTGTAAATAAAACTAATCACGATCACTTTCATCAGCAATTTCATACTCATCAACCATTCTATTTTCATCCCGTTACCACCCATGATTATCATACAAACCCGTATTCCGCCCAACAGCTTCATAATCTCCACCAGGATTGGAGAGAAGTTACAAATTCATCTAGTCCCTCGACTGTTGCAACTCCTTCGACAGCGGTTACAGTAAGCTGTATTATTCCTACGAGATATCCAGATATAAATAGTCTGGTGCCAGCAGCCTATGTAAAAACAGAAACAAATTTAGATGATCATGATTGTTTCCTAAATAGAGATTCTATGAATAATTGAATGAATTATAGGTAAATGCCATAATAACAGGCATATGTTTGCTGACAATTTCCACATGATTGAAATAGTGTTGTTGTCAATTATAAACATGAAATTCAAAAATGTTTGTACAATCTAATTATTGACCCTTTGTGGGAAAGAATAAGTAGACCTATATTCAGCATATGCGCTTCTGACGCCATTTGTTCTTGATCGAAATTTGTAATTTGACCAAAAGATTGCGAATTTTCAACTAAATTTTGTTTCCAAAAGGACCCATCTTCGAACTGAATCTCTCCAAGATTTATAGTACGTAGTAGCCATACAGGCAGATGGACGGACATCGCTAGGTCGGCTCCTTCCAAAGACATATAGTGTATTTTTGATCATATAATTGTATTTTGATCATATAAATGCCCGATTGTCTAAATGGTAGCCGTGCACACCATGCCCTGTTACATCCGTAATTGTTGTCTAACGTCGTCTCCGTATGAAGGCAACATTTTCGTATTTTTTCTTCCTTGTTTGTTTGCTGGCGCAAAGATTCGAACCAGCGACATATAGTTTTGTAGCCGTTACTCATTATCTGGAATAATAAAAGCATTATTTTGTTTTACTTTTAATTCAAAAGCAGTCGTCATTATTTTGAATTGTAGAAAAAACAAAACGAACAAACTTAATATTTCGGTTTCGCTGGAATAAGGGCGTGCGTACTTCACTCGTTTTAATGTGCGGACAAAATTCCTTTTAATGTGGGGACACAATTCTTTTAATGTGGGGACAAAATTCGTTCAAAAACGAGCAAAATCTACTCTTACCGAGCCCTTTTCTAGTTTTAGGAATTATTTTGTTTTTCTACACATATGTATGCGTGTGTGTGAGCAGAATCTACTTTTGCAGAGCACTTTTTAGTTTTTGCCATACCGTTGTTGTGTTTCTATGTATGTGTGCATAATGGACCAAAGGTCTCCGAGTGAAGCAGTTGCCGAATTCGAAAAAATACACCATGTATGTGTATTTTGTCGAAGATAATTTATTACAAAATATTATAATACAATCTTTAATTATAGCCAATTGAGTTAGAACAAGGTCGAAACCCTCAAAAAAATTTAATTTGTACAGCAACGTTATGTGTATCAATTTCGCAAATTTTTGGTTCCGTGTTATGGAGGCTATAGAAAACCTGAAGCAATTTAATCTGGATATATCTCTTCAAAAGTTGAAGTGGTAAACATGGACGAACATGATTTAAAATATTCTTAGAATTTTATGCTGATCAAGGGTATATGTAATTTATAGAATCTTAAATGATTATTTCAACGAGTTATGAGTGGAATGACAAAATTAGCATATCCGTGGGAGTATAAAATCTGTATTTAAATAGTATATGGATCGGAGTATGCCATAAGTTGTGATTTGGGAGCTAAGTAAGTGGTCGTGGTATATTTGGTTTGTTATTGTAACAGTAAATGCTGCACGTTTAAATCCTGCTAATTTGGTTCTTGCTCAACATCAAATGGAAAGATGCAGTGTAATGTGTCGGGCTCAATGCTGGGCAGACGATATGCTCACTCTCACCAATCAGTGCCCAATACCAATTGAGACGACTACATCACCCCGGACGTAGTTGGCAAAGTCCAGCCTGGATATCTCAGCCAGTTTACGTTCATGGGGAGTCCAAGGACGATATTCGTACTGTACTGGTTAATAACATTGGTGACTGCATCAGTATGAATGCTTCAGAACTGGCACATATCGATAATATATTCAAAGAGTGTCATATCTCAAAAAAAATTCTACCTCAAAAATCGCACTTTTATACCCTACGCCACATAGTGGTAAGGGTATTATGTCTTTGTGCATTTGTTTGTAACATGGAGAAGGAAACGAGATAGATCCATAGTTCCTTTTGGTGATCAGCATAAAATCACAGTATGAGTCGATTTATGCATGTGTGTCCGTCCGTCTGTCCATGTATTTTTGTAAACAAAATGCAGGTCGCATTTATTATTCGATTGAGACGAAATTTTGCACAAGTCATTTGTTTGGCCCAATGACGAACCCTACTGAAATTTGAGATCATCGGCCAAAATTTAGATATAGCTCCCATATATATATATTCGTCCGATTTGCCTTTTTTGTGCACCAAACGTGTAATATCAGCCCAAAGAGTATGGAATTTTGCACATACAATCAAATTAGGCCTGAAATAAAGTATGCCAAATTTGATCGAAATCGGTTCAGATATAACTATAGCTCCCATAAATATTGTTCAACCAATTTGTTATTTTTGTCTATCGCATCCGTATTATGCACTCTATAACAACAATATTTGTGGAAATATATCAAATACAGCTCAGAAATAACTTTGCTAAATTTTATCGAGATCGGGACAGATTTGGATATAGCTCCCATTTATAACTTCGTCCGAATAACTTACGACCGAATATAGTCTAGAAGCTAGTACGTCAAATTTCGTGAAGATCAGTTTAGATATAGATATAGCTCCCATATATATTGTTCATCCGAGTAGTTATATTTGATCCCCACAGCAGTAATATGCACTCCGTAACAACGATATTCAGGGACATATATCAAATACAGCTCAGAAATATCTATGCCAAATTTTATCGAGATCGGTTCAGATTTGCATATAGCTCCCATATATATCTTTATCCGATTTCAAGTTAATTGTGTACCAAATGGGCAATACAAGCCCCAATTGAAAAGATACAAATTCTTCGGCAAATTTAGTCCTTTAAACTTAAATTATAATTATAATCATAGCTTGTATGATTTAATTATCCCACAAAAACTTTTAATTGTTATGTGAAGCTCTACTAGATATGCAAAGTGGTGTAGGGTATCATAAAGTCGGCCCGCCCGACTTTAAGACTTCCTTTACTGGTTAAGTGTGCCACTCTTAAAGTAAATGAGCGATGGTCCTACAATCTGCATGATTTACGATCTCATAGTTGAATACCCAACATTTCTAATTTTGTCAGCAGTTAGTTCTCGGTCTCGGGATACCAACATTGTTCTACGTCAGGGCTTGATCTGGTTTTGTTCTAGACTAATGTTTGTTATGGTGCTGTATTACGGACGGAATCCATGATAATAATATTAATTAACAAGTAAGCAAAGGCTATAGTCGTGCCGGCCGACCATGTCATACCCTGCAACACTACAATTTGTTCGAAGTCCCCTTATGTCCAAATCCATTTTAGAAGATTTCGTTTCTGAAATAATGTCAAAAGTAATACCCCTGTCCTTAACTCTCTTCTGATGCGAAATTCCGTGTCGATTGGTTTTCAATTGTGGTCTATAGAGCGACTACAAAATTAGAAAAATTAAATTTTTTTAATCCATTTGAGCACCTAAATGTACAACTTAATAACAATAGGCTTTAATTCTGACCCTAACCCTACTCCCATGCAAAATTTCGTGAGGATCGAACGATATTTCCAACATGCATATAATACCCTCGAAACATAGTGTTGCGGAGCGTAAAAATTTAATAAATTTACATTTCAAAATTGAAAGTTAGATTAAACAAGTAAGCAAAGGCTATAGTCGTGCGGGGCCGACCATGTGATACCTCAACTCTCTTCCGATGCGAGATTCCGTGTCGATTAGTTTTCAATTGTAGCCTATACAACGATACAAAATTAGAAAAATTTAAAATGTTTTAGCCATTTAAACCTCTAAATGCACATCCTAAGAACAATAGGCTTCAATTCCGACCCACCCCCTGCAAAATTTCGTGAGGATCGGACAATACTTGCAACATACATATAATACCCTCAAAACGTAGTGTTGGGGGGTGTAAAAATTTAGAAAATTTAAAATTCAAAATTGTAAATAAAGATTGAAAAAATCGCATGCGATATAAAATAAGACAAAAATGGAAAAAAATGAAACAAAAGATATAACTTTTTATTGGTATATTATCCCGCGATTTCACTGTAATAGTCAGAAGTGATCTTTTAATGTATTTGTGATTTGGTTGGGATTACAAATATTCGCGGTTTAGTGGAAATTTTTCTATTTCCATTTTTAATTTCGTGATGATCGGTTCATAATTGCGCACGTAGCTTGATTACAAATTAACATGGACAGACGGACGGACGGACATACATAACTTAATGTAAATTTCCGCGTCGATTGGTTCATAATTGTGGCTTCTATAGCATCTGTAAAATCAGGAAAATTTTCTGTTTTTGGTCTATTTCATACTGTGCAAATATCTCCAAAAACTATAGGGTTCTATCAAAGACATGCAATATAATAAGATGGGACATTATTTTGTTAATTTTCTTCAATAGATGGCGATGGTAGTGGAAAAATATGTTATGCCACGATATCGTGACATAGCATTATGTCATAATTTAACAGATCTGACACATTTTAAGGGTTATTGTTGATTTTTATCGGTTCAATGTACAAGGAAATGTTCTGGAATAGATTTTTGAGAGCATGTCTATCATACCTGATATTTTTTTCCGCGTATTTCCGCCATTTTTCGGCGATATCGGAATAACATATTTTTCTAAAATTTCCAATCCATTTCTGTTATTTCGCCTGTCATCTATTACCTGAAAGACAAATTAAGGCCCATATGCAGTTTGTCTAGTCTTTATAGTTTTATGTGTTTGGTTCTATTCTGACCCTAACCCCTCCTCCATTTCCAATTTCGTAAGGATCGGGCCATAATTGCGACCCGTTGCTTGATTAACATGGACAAACGGACATGTATAGTTAGATCGACTCAGCTCGGTGAAATAGGAAGAAAGTGTAGCGGGATCTGTGTTATGGTAACACATTTTTGAAATGACATGTCTTTTGTTAAATCGTATGAGGAATATTTTCGCCATTATAGCATATTTTATTATTTTATATTATATTATTTTTAAACAGGATATTCAAATGTGAAAACAACGCATGAACAGTCTAAAATACCAACGAAGAAATCTCTAACAACAAAGATACAACTTCGACCAAAGCCTTGGAAAAGAACTATAATATACATAAGATTTTTGTAGTATGTCAGCAGAAGCGGCGGAGTAATGTGGTAATGTACGTCAATCCCTGTCACCTACATACTTAAAATGCTTGAAATTAAAGGGACTTACTGCCTAC